AATTCCAGTTCTGATACATCAAAGCATTACGAACATCATGCAGGTGATAATGACGAGGGCAACAGGCCTCAGGTGCAGCTCCGCGAGGGATAATTAAATCCCCTTCAGAAATACTGCTAAACAATAGCCAAACCTGATACTCCACTATTGATTTTAATGAACAAAGACTACAGTAATATGAATTGTGTGGGATATTCTGGCCATGTCTTTCCAGTAACAATGGAGGCTAGTTCGTGTCCAGTGTCTTGTGTGACCAGGTCTGCAGCAGACTAATCACCCTTCCTGGTGCTGTCCAGCTGCTAATTGCTGACCTCCCACTGTCCACCTCTGTAACAATAGGTATCCATCCTAACAATCAACATGCCTGACCTGCCAATCAGTAGCCACGTATGAGGCTGGTGTGAACTCACACTAACAGCTTGTCCAGCTCAGGTATCAAATCAGACTGTGAAGCTGGCTTACTATAGTTTCATCCTTGTAAATTATGTATGACAGGACTTGGGTGTTAGTTCACTTGTTTGTCTGAATTCTGTGTGGAGGGAGAGGCAGTAGTCTTGGGTAGTATATCCGTTGTCATATTCCCTTGGCCTTATCACTGGACAGTGGAATGAGTGTGATATTGTCCTAAACACTACCTGTGGTTGAATGTTGTTCTCCTAAACACTATCTACAGCTTGTTATATTGTCTGAACCACTCAGCACTGGATATTGGTGTGTGATGTTTTCCTAAACACTACCTTCAGCTGGTTATATTGTCTGAACCACTCAGCACTGGATATTGGTGTGTGATGTTTTCCTAAACACTATCTACAGCTGGTTATATTGTCTGAACCACTCAGCACTGGACGTTGGGACACTACCTACTGTTTTAAGCGAGTACTACTGCAAGCACTGTGTGTACTTGTGAACAAACAATCAAATATTTGGTGGCAGTCGTGGATACCAGCAGTGCAGCCTTCACCTTTGACTCCTGACCTTGGCATGTTCAACCTCCTCATGTGTAAGATATGACAACAGATGTTGCTGTGACATTCTTAACTTAAGTTAAAAAGAAACTAACGTATATATTTTTGTCTTTTGTCAGAATGAGATTCTGAAAAAGAGAGGCAGCGTCCAAAGGCAGTACCATTAACTCAGCAATAGAAACTAACATTTTTAGTCCACAAGTCCTTGCAATGATAACATATAGCAAAACCCTTAAAAAAGGCAAATTTCTACTCGTCCTTATAATACTTTAACTATTGGGCAATTTGGCAAGGACTACAGGACTGGTACCAATTTCTACCGCTGTTAACTGTGCACTGTTTTGTCCCTTAGCACACCAGGATCCGCTGATCATGTCCTTTTACCTGATTATGATCCTTGGTCTGCCAGCACTATACCAGTGCTCATGTAAACCAAATTCTATCAACTGAATTTTGGGTACTCATTCCTTAAAGTTTCAGAAGCATTGCGTCCTCCATGGACTCTGAAATAGTCAATGCCATGAGCAAAATCAACAATTCCGTTTAGTTTGTTTGTTGTTTTAATGATGCTCTCATTTTAGTTCATACACTCAAAGCCCAGAGTGTCACAGCTGCATCATCTATTAGTAATGCAGGAATGATTCATTTACTGGTAAGCATGGTCATGGCTTATTAAGATTGTATTATCCCCCTTTTTGAGAAATGAAGGGATGTAGCGATCAGCATCTACATCCATGCTTCGTCTGTTTTCCGTTTCTGGAGCAAAATTCCTAAACCGTTAAATATTTCTTGCTGAAACTTGCTATACAGATAGGTCAAGTGGTGAACTGGTGCCTTTTGATTATTTGTGGACTTTCACTTTTTTATTTTATTTTAGGTTTTTATGACAAGTTGGACTTTATGAATATTTGTGGATGAAACTTGGTATACAGATAAGTCCAGTGGTGTACTGGTGCTTTTTGATGATTTTGGATATTGAAAACTACTGAACAGCATTAGTTTTTTCTTCATGAACTGAAGGCACCAATTTATGGCAATGAACCAAGAGTATTAAAGGGTATAATTAGCCAAATTCCCCTTCTGAATTGCACCATGACGGGGGGATATGTCATCTCCAGAAGACTCTTGTTTAAACATGACACAAGAGAGTTAAAGTACTAAATACTATCTAAATATATTGTTCTATTTATCATGTTTATTGAAATCTTGCAAACAAGCCTAATGCAGAGCATGCACAGTCCTATCACGACTGTTGTATGTGCTGTGATGGGAACATGTGTGCAGGTATGTTGAGTGCCATATTATACATTCATGTCCATCACTGACAGATGCAGCTGTTGCCATATCTGTGTATCATCTGCTAGCTGATCATCTATGTGTATAGGCCTGCATTATTAGTACATGATCGAAAAATATATGTTATTTAATATCACATATGTCACTTTTATTTCATTACTTTGAAGTTTAGTACTGATGCAATTATTGTAAAACATAAATTGGTTCATGTTTTGCGATATTAATGCTGGATTATCAGAATGTTTCTGCAAATTGAAGTACATTTAATCATTGACAATGATAGTACCAACAAGGGAATTCTTTGTACACGGGACAGTGCTAACAGATGTATCCATGTTTGTTTGTTGTTTAACGCCCCACTCGGCAATATTCCTGCTATATGACAGTGGTCTGTAAATAATCAAGTCTGGACCAGACAATCCAATTGTAGACATCTTGAGAATCGATTACGCAATTGGGATATGACGACATGAATCAACCAAGTCAGCGAGCCTGACCACTCAACACTGCTCATTCTGTTAGTCGCCTCTCATGACAAGCATAATCACCTTTTATAGAAGGCATGGTTTGCTGAAGACCTGTTCTACCCCGAATCTTTACTGTTCCAGTTTATATGAAGGTGGGCTGTGAATAATCAAGGCTGGATCAAGAAAGCCAATGGTTGATATCATGAGCAACCTTCCAAGCCATTTGTGTACAGTTACACGCCATCAACCAATGCAATTAATCCTCTCTTAAAACAGCTTAGGATGCTTGAGAATTATTCTTGCAAAGAAATTCCACTATAAGGGGAGGGGCGGTGGGGTAGCCAAGTGGTTGATGATTTGCTTGTCATGCTGAAGATCCGGTTTTGATTCCCCACATGGGTACAATGTGTGAAGCCCATTTCTTATGTCCCCAGCCATAATTGCTTGAGACCCGTGAAGTTCAAGGGTAGAATAGGTCTTGCCGTAAAAGGCCACCATGCTTGTCGTAAGAGGCGACTAACGAAATCGGGTGGTCAGGCTTGCTGACTTCGTTGATGCATGTCATCATATCCCAATTGCGTGGATTGATGCTCATGATGTCAATCACTGGATGGTCTGGCCCAGACTGGATTATAGCTTGAATATAACTGAGTGCGACGTTAAACTACAAACAAACAAACAGATATTGCTGGAATTTTGCTAAAAGCGGCGTAAAGCCATACTCACTCACTCACAGTGAGGGGGGTGGTTGCAATGAAGGTGTGTACTTATTATGACTGTGATAATATTCCTGTGTTAAGATCCCCTCAACCCAGTCAGTTATGATGTTGTTATTATTGCAAAGAGTCCTATTCATCCCTTAATTCCAACACAGCCATATGTATATATTGATTTCACTGTAACATTTGATACTGGTTTATGGCGATTAATCATTAAACATTTTTAGCCATGGAAATGTTAATACTGTATTCAACATAATAAGGGCCTAGGGCGCTCTCAAAATTGTAAATAGGGGGCTCTTATTAGATTATCATTTTGGTGAAAAAAACAGTGTTGAAAGATAGTAAATTTTGTGGTTTATGCCAACAGCCTGAAATGTTTATATACAACAGATATATTTTTCCAGAATTTAATTGCCCATAATTAAGGGTGCATATAACAATCGTATTATACACGATTAAATAAGTCTTGTGTACATTGATCAATCGGAAGGGGTGCTAATTGGGATTGTTCACTAGCCAATATATAAACAAATATCGCCGTTGGTGCTTATTAGAGCGGGACCCTTATTACGTCGAATACGGGAGATGATATTGCCAATAGCCTTACAGTGTATCACAATAACACAATGTAGCACAATACACTACTCTACTTTGATAGATTATGAGATGCTTATATGAAAAACATGCATGTATTTGTAAAAGTAACTGTATGGACCAATAATTGCATCCCAAGGATGCAGTAGCAGTCTCAACATTATAAAATAAATGTTAATAGAACTGGTAACCGTTTCAAACATGTTTGATCATTAAATGTTGCTCTATCTGAAACGAATTTAGAATATATCATACATAGAGAAACAGGAAATTTGCTTTTTCACAATTTTCCACAATATTGATTGTGGAGTACTCATCAACTCACTGGTAATGGGGAGGTTGTAGGAATTATGAAGACATGATGTGACACTGAAAGTGACAGATTAGACTTCAGTGTGCACAGAACAGTGAACTGCGCCAGTGATGATGCTGAGAGATTGTATCTGTCTGGCTCTTGTAATTTGAATCTGGAGCAAAGAGACCATTTTGTGTCATGTCAGATGCAGTCTTTAGTATAACTTGAGGTTTCATTCGGTTCAGCTAAATTAGGATTTTGGCATAGTTACATAAACATGAACAATGTACTGTCAGGTTAATCATTTGAAGAATTCCCAGTAGATAAAATATATTAATTGATTTTCATCAATTTCTAAAATATGATAACATTAAACATGTTAAATGATAAAAACATAATAAATAAGATACTTAAATAATAGACAAAAAATATATATGTTACTGTTTTCTGAATTACGTGGTATGTAATTTTGGGCTATTAACATTAAGTATAAATGATATAAATTATGTGATAAGGCATGAAAAAGTGCAGCACCCGTGTGCTATGGGAAAAATGACCGTGGTCCCCTGTCCCCAGTGGGTCGAACTGGCAGATCCGATGGCCGAGTTTGCCACTTCCAAGCTGGTACTATATCTCTATCGGTGAAGTTCTCCCAATTGGATTTACATTGATTTTTCTCCCAGTGATGAATACTGACTGTTTCACTATAGCCGAATGCTGCCAAAATTGCTCACACCCAAGTTGCCTGGCTTGCCTTCTGTAAGCACAGCTAACTGACCCACCAACAACGTTCCGTTCCGCAGGATTTGTGTCACCCATCACCACAGCGTCCATTCTGCAATTTCTTGACATCGCTGCTAGGAGTTGACAGTTGATGTCCCAGGCAATGCTGTTTGCTTGGCTGCAGGTTGACTTTGACGCATGTGGATATTTCTGTGATGCTGTGTGCTAATGGAGGATTGTCTCGACTCGAGAAACTGACCATGTAATTAAGAATTTTGTGATGTGACAGGCAGAAGGATACCAGGGCATCAATATCATTACGGAAGTCGTCTTCAGCAGACGTCTGCCGCTGTAGCTTTCTCCCATCTTGGAAAGACACAGTCCACGAGGGCTGCCTAGCTCTGTGACGTGGGTTGTCATTCAGTCTACAGCTAGTGTGGGATACTGTCAGTCGTTCACTGTATGAGCAGACATCACAACATGCTAGATTGTGAGTATGGTATGCTATTAGGCATCTGTGTTCTGCCTTGTCTGCATCGAACAGACCTCGTCAATATCACAAATAATCTTGTCTTTGTTACTTTGTGAACCGATATTGATAAAAATTGGTAATGGCTCATGCAGCCATTTCTGTCACTGTGGTCCTTGAATGTGTTAATTAATTTTCATGTGACAAGATAACAACCATGGCAACTAGAACAAAAGTGGATGTTTTTCTGTGTTTGTTTAAATCCCTATGTCATCACGAATACAAGGAATGGTGTGTAAAGCATTGATTGAAGTCATTGCTAACAACATCTATGAAAGGAGGTTCAATGTCGTTCATATTATGTCCTTTCAAACAAAGCTTAAACTGACGTCCAATTCTGCTTCGAAACAAGCCCTTAAGGACAAAGCAAATTTCCTAACACATGTTACCATTGATAAATACATGTTTAAGTGCCACCATGTCTGAATATTATCTTTCGAGTAATGTGACTCTCGACTGAAGCAGACCTGATATGAACTCGGCATGATCAATGTTATTTTTTTTGCAAGTTTTCATTTTGTAAACAATGATATAATTATCGGGATGATGAGTTGGAAACTGCATCAGTGGTTCTTAATTGGGCTTGAAATAACTTCCATTGTTATGATAAAGATGTCAATTCAGTGTCACAATAGACCTAGGTTAACATTACAAGCAGAGGGTCTGACGACCTTTGGCTGAGGATAACTGTAAAGGTCAGATGTTTGTTCCTGATAGAAAAAACAAACGTTTTCTCTCAAATAGTTGATGATGCTTCCTATTACTATTGGGGCGGTCGTGTAGCCTAGTGGTTAAAGCATTGGCTCGTCACGCCGAAGACCCGGGTTTGATTCCCCACATGGGTACAATGTGTGAAGCCCATTTCTGGTGTCCCCCGCCGTGATATTGCTGGAATATTGCTAAAAGCGGCGTAAAACCATACTCACTCACTCACTCCTATTACTATTAGCAGTGGGAGGATACACAGATGCATTGGTGGATCGCAATTGTTTACTTCACGATACAAGTATTGATCACAGTCGCACACTAAGTACAAAATATTAATTCTGACTTTAAATGTTTGCTTTAATAACTTTAATAACTGTTCCACTTAACACTAATCAGTAGTGCAAGTTAATAGTGATTAGATATTTTCATTTGTTGTGCCATACTTGACACTGCCAACTGTAAATTATCAGTGTGCCAGGTATTTGGCCATCCTGTCTATGAAAAAGATGGGGGCGGTCTGGTAGCCTAGTGGTTAAAGCGTTCGCTCATCACGCCGAAGACCCGGGTTTGATTCCCGACATGGGTACAATGTGTGAAGCCCATTTCTTGTGTCCCCCCGCCGTGATATTGCTGAAATATTGCTGAAATATTGCTAAAAGCGGCGTAAAACCATACTCAGTCAGTCAGCATGGAAAAGATAGCTTATGCACCACAGATAAGAGCACATGCAAGTATCGTGATACATATCGGATCGTGAGTAAGGTATCATGAGTAAGGTATCGTGATTTGTATCGGATAGCACAGTTGGTGTATCGTCCCAGCCCTACTTCCTATCAGGATAGTCCGTCTCTGTGGTCTCGTGATAGACTGTCTGCCCAAAGTGCGGAAAGTCCAGGGTTCAATCCTCGGCCATGTCGTACCAGATGTTAAAAGATGTTAAGAGACATTGACTCCGAGTCAGTATACTGTGTCTGAGTGGGGTTTCATGTTTAAGTGCTGCATGATATCTCAGTGGGCTAGCAATATTAAAATCGGCATTAGTCCAGACTAGTACAAGCAGCCATGCTCACACATACACAAACACACATATGCATGCATGTTGCTGCATAAGTGCATTAATCTTGAATGCGATGTTAAACCCCATGGGCGGATACAGCTTTTTTGAAAAGGGGGGGTGCACAATTAAGATCTATTTATTGTCTTTGGTGGTAATAAAGATTTTTTTCGAAATAAAAGGGGTGTGTGCTCACCCCCCCCCCCTCATTTGCTTGTCATACCAAAAGCTCGGGTTCGAAACCCCCCTTAGTACAATGTGTGAAGCCCATGTTCCCAGTGGTGATAATGAAGGAATATCTCTAAAACCAAACTCACTTACTCCTTGAACATTGGGCCTCAGTTTCCAGGGAAGAATAGGTCTCTAGTAACCCATGTTTGCTGTAAAAGGTGACTATGCTTGTCGTAAGAGGCGACTAACGGCATCGGGTGGTCAGGCTTGCTGATTTGGTTGATGCATGTTATCGTGTCCCAATTGCGTGGATCGATGGTCATGATGTCAATCACAGAATATCTGGACTCGATTATTTACAGACGGCCGTCACATCGCTGGAATATTGCTGAGTGCAGCATTAAACAACAAACAAACAAACATCAAACATGTCAAATCCCACACCCTTCATGCTAGTGCATACACATGCAACTCTCTATGTACTATTAAGACTTATCATCTTATTACAAAGTATGCTGTTTTAATTTGAGCTAAATATATAATGAAAAGTGAATATTGATATTACAACTTGATGGGCATATCTGTCATAACCAAGTGTGATGTTATCAGTCGCCATAGAAATGTCCTTCTTTTACACATTTGGTTCTCATCTTAAAGTAATGCTGTGCTCCGTTCCACAAAGTGATTGTAGTGCTATAACTGTCGTAAGTCTACGTTTAAGTATGGGAGTTACGATCATCTTAGAGCTATGGGCACTTTCCACTTTCTGGTATATATCAAGCCACGACAACCATTTGCCGTAGAAAATTAGAGATTCTACCATGAATTTGGAATTTACTCGATTCTGATTGGTCAATCAGAGGCTATTAAATCACAATGAACCCCCTCTGATTGAAACAGCTGGTTTGACGGCCACATCACCGCGGAAGCTAATATTCATAGAATAGTACTATTTTCAGTCATTGTCGGTAGGCATATTTAAATAATTATATCTACAATTATAGGTTACAAAATGCACAGATGCCGTTACTACAATATTCAAAGGATGTGTGGCAATACATTTTGCGCAGAAGACACGATAGAAATCTACAAAGGGAATGTATTGACATTTTGGAGACAACAGAGAGCTTGGAATTTTGGCGCTTTTCTATATATGACTGTGACGTCATATCTTTTGCGTCACAATGAGCGATATGACATCACAATAATGACGTGCGATATTGAGCGAAAGCCTTGCAAAGGTTGCTTTGTTTTATTTTGGGATGCCCACCTCATGTTAGCTTTCCAAGTTGCCGTGTTTATATGCTTTCAATGCCTGTCATATGTTCTAGTGAAGTATTACGGTGTAAACAAACTGCTTGAGTACTTACAGAGCCATATTTTGTTTGGTGATTCCGTAAATCAGATCAGTAACCCACTCATAACAATGGACTCAACCCATGCCGCTTCACTCAGTATATTTGGTAACACCAAAGAGTTCGCGTTTTATTTAGTCATGGTAGAATGGAGATAAACATACTGTGTTTTCAATGTAGAGCTAGGTTACCTGGAGATTTAACTGCGCTAAATTTAACATTTGTAACCTCACGCTGCGTGTTTGGTTCCAAATTCAATTTAGCTCGGTTAAAAATCTCCAGGTAACCTAGCTCTACATTGAAAACACAGTATGTTTATCTCCTAATTGATAACATCAAGATTATTTCTCTAAAGATGCCTGATCATTTTGTTCCCATCTTGTTTAAGTGTATATTGAGTCGTGCAACCGTCATGTCCCTTATTATTATTATACTTGGCATCTTTCCAAGTTATTGTTTATTCTCCGTGTCTCCACGTTTGTCACATATGGGTCGGCTTTGACAGCTGGAATGAGCCTCAGGCAATATAAAAATGTATAATTTGATAGTATTATATAGAGTCTCGGTCATCAAGATTGTTAATCATCCCTCTACATGTGCTAAGTCATAGATATTTATGAAACATGTTCATTACTGATCTGTTTAATATTAATTTTTATTCCGTATTTATACAGCAGGTTTTTGTACCGAACGCATCAACTACTGAGAAAAATATATGTTGGTTAGTGTGAATGTACACATATATATGAAACTAAAGACCAGATATTGTATGGTTCAATGGGCACACAAATGTTGTTTTGGCCTAAACCCAGTTTTGGATCATGTAAAGTCAATAAAATTATAGCTTGTATTTGTGTGATTGAGACATGTAATATTTTCAAGTTTTTTTCAAATGATACAAACATGTTGATCTTTGCAGCTACATTAATTTTAGCGATATTCAAAATTGACCTTGATAAGGGTTAAGTCATCAGACTTTTAACCAACTACTTAGGTAGATCTGGTCCCAATTTTCATGTCGGTGATGTCAGACTTTTATTTAACATTGACACAATGCATCATCATTATGTTTGTACAATATGACCGCCACCATGGTCTAGTGGATAGAGCGTCGGCCCAGAGAGCCCAGAGGTGGTTCGATCACCGTCCATGTAATACCAATAGACGTTAAGAATGGTAGTCCTGGAACTCAGCATTAAGGGGACAATACAAGGTCAGGTCGGCTCGAAGTCTGTATACTGTGTCTGAGTGGGGTTTTCATGTTTAGCTGCAGCATGGTATCTCAGTGGGCAAGCATTAATAATCGGCATCAGTCAGGACTAGCGCACGCATGCACGCACGCACGCATGCACGCACACACACATGCAACCCCCCCCACGCGCACACACACAACAGGTCATGTCAGAATGACCATTCATCCGACCAATCAGAGCATCGCTTACCGCATCAGAAAAGTGACAGTCGGAATGTGTTTTCTTATCATTTAACCTCTTTGAGGTTAAAATGGGGGTATTCCGAATGACAGTTATGGGCTTTATGACTGATTCTGTCAAAATCATCGTCTATCTCTTGCTTCAGTAGGATAAACATTTGAAACGGAGGAGACTTCCTATAGACAGTAGGAGGTACTGCTGTACAATATCGGACATCTAGTAGACATTCCAGAATGTTTTTTGTTCAGTTTTCAAATTTTGAATCGAGAACTGTCAAAATATTTTTTAAAGCACAGTTTGGAATAGAAGTCGCGACTAGTGCTGTATAGCTTGAGAAAGCAGCTTTCTTAATTGGCCAATGTCAACTTCTTGTGAGTGATTTCATTGGGCGGGCAAAGTTCGCGAAATGTCGTTCCGACATGATCTGTCTTCAGATCTTTGTTTAGCGAAAGGGAGACCTAAGATCTGATTTTAATGAGATTGCCTGCAACCTAACTCAACCAAAATGTATTGGATGCTCAGACGCTGTGTCTTTGTCTTTGTCGATTGTGTGTCATAATGCGCTTTGTTTGAAAAACAGGGGGATGTAGCGATCCTTATATCCACCATCCAGTTCTGAATTGCACCATTCCAGTGGGTATGTCATCTCCTGATGACCCTTGTTGATTGTGTGTCATTGTGCACTGTTGGCATGGCTTGGTGCTCATGCTTTCAACCACTGGTTTGCGTTGCTTGTCTCGATTTGCGGACTGTTGTGATAGGGTTGGAATACGTCTGACTGAGGTGTTTGTTATAGTCACTGACTCTCTCATCTTCCCGAGGCAAGGGAGTTTACTGACTATAAAAGTCCAGTTCCAACCCTTAACCAACTAGGCTGGAATTCTGAAGTTACATTTTGGCAGGACTAACAAGTTTATCCATAGTGCAATCAAATTCATGCCTCGAACTAGACATCCAGGTTGTAAACAACATGGATTTCAATGTGCAGATTTTGGTCGACTGAAAGATTTGCAAAGCATGTGTACCGCCAACGGAGAGTCGACATATATTTTGCACATCTTATGTTTTTAATCAAGGTGCATATTTTATTAACCATTAGATGAAACAATTGCGTATATTACAACTGTAAGATAAAATTGTTGTGTATCAGCCGATCGCCTAATTATCCCCCGCCGCGCGAAAGCGCGAAGCGGGGGATATAGTATTCACGACCGTCCGTACGTCCGTCCGTCCGTCCGTACGTCCGTCCGTCCGTACGTCCGTCCGTACGTATGTCTCACCTGTTTGTTGCCGCGATATCTCAAGAACTAAACACTGGATTGTCTTCATATTTGGAACTATGGTGTATATACAGACTCCGCAGACACCAGTCGGTTTTGGTGACCTTGATCCCATTTTCAAGGTCACAGCAGACAAATCTGCTTTTAGAGTTGGAAAACGGTGTTGCCGCGATATCTCAAGAACTAAACACTGGATTGTCTTCATATTTGGAACTATGGTGTATATACAGACTCCGCAGACACCAGTCGGTTTTGGTGACCTTGATCCCATTTTCAAGGTCACAGCAGACAAATCTGCTTTTAGAGTTGGAAAACGGTGTTGCCGCGATATCTCAAGAACTAAACACTGGATTGTCTTCATATTTGGAACTATGGTGTATATACAGACTCCGCAGACACCAGTCGGTTTTGGTGACCTTGATCCCATTTTCAAGGTCACAGCAGACAAATCTGCTTTTAGAGTTGGAAAACAGTGTTGCCGCGATATCTCAAGAACTAAACACTGGATTGTCTTCATATTTGGAACTATGGTGTATATACAGACACCGCAGACACCAGTCGGTTTTGGTGACCTTGACCCCATTTTCAAGGTCACAGCAGGCAAATCTGCTTTTAGAGTTGGAAAACGGTGTTGCCGCGATATCTCAAGAACTAAACACTGGATTGTCTTCATATTTGGAACTATGGTGTATATACAGACTCCGCAGACACCAGTCGGTTTTGGTGACCTTGATCCCATTTTCAAGGTCACAGCAGACAAATCTGCTTTTAGAGTTGGAAAACGGTGTTGCCGCGATATCTCAAGAACTAATCGCTAGATTGTCTTCATATTTGGTACTATGGTGTATATGGCGGGGGATATTTCGTCACTCTGTGACAAATACTTGTTCACTTACAGATAAGCTTGTGCGACAAACCATACTGATAGATGCCAATTTAAAAGCACATCGTGCCTAGTCAATGTACATGTTGTATCTTAATAAGACACTGATCATGCTGATTGGTTATTAAAACAATAGTGCCTTTCTTTCAATGCTAGGTTTTGTAAACAAATAATTGCTTCCGGGAGAGCCACAAGCAGACGCAGACGGGTATACTACTATTCACATACAATGTAGGTTTAAATGTTTTACAGGGATTGTTACGAGACAGGTTTTAAGTTAAGAAACAGGTGGGTAAAAAAACTTTGAATACCCTCTAAAACTTGTGGGTACCCAATCAAAATCAAACCCCTGGGTAAAATACCCAATTAACATGAATAACCAAAAGCTTATCTATAGCTCTGGGTTGACTATTTACAGACCGCCATCCTGTAGCTGGAATATTGCTAATGTTAAACAACAACAACAAAAACAAAAAAAACAACGGCCTATAAAGTGTGAAGTATGTGTGAAGCCTAGAGGTGTAACAATACGGTGAGGTCGCGATACAATATGTATCCCCATACTATAGGTGCGATATGATTCGTCTCCCAATACTATACTTGTATATCACAGGTTGATATTCTTTCTTTTAGCAGGTGAATCACAACCCTGAATCATTTGTTACTTAATTTCAGAGATCAAAGATTGGACATTGTAGGGCAGAAACACATTGGTAGAGGGCACTGTGAATGTTACCGTATTCAACGTAATAAGCGCCCAGGGCGCTCTCAAAATTAGAAATAGGGGGCTCTTATTAGTATATTATTTTGGTAGAAAAAAGGGAGTTGAAAGATAAATTTCGTGGTTTATGCTGACACTGTGAAATGTTTATGTGCGACAGATACATTTTTCCAGAATTTATTTGCCCATTATTAAGAATGCATATAACACACGAGTGCGTATTATACGCGAATAAATAAGTCTTGTGTACATTGATCAATCGGAAGGGGTGCTAAATGGGATTGTTCACTAGCCAATATATTAGCAAATATCGTCCTGGGCGCTTATTAGAGCGGGGCGCTTATTACGTCGAATACGGTATGCTATTTATGTCCAACCATGAAATACAAGAGAATCTGCATTAGCCATGTTAGCTGGCACTTGAACAGTTTCTGTTATTATTCACATGTTTTTACAATTTAAATTGTAATGAAATGTATTATATGTATCAGATACAGGGGTCTTAAATTGACGTATTGTAGCGTTGGCTTCATATCGTGATACAATACTGTAACATGTAACATCATTGTTACAGATGGGTTTCCTTGTATATAAAAACTTCATGATTGAATTTTCCAATACGATGCAGTGATGTAGATTGGATGTGTAATGTGTGTCTTCTGTTTCAGCAACCATGTTTCTCAACACTCTCACCCCCAAGTTCTACGTTGCGCTGACAGGGACGTCCTCTCTCATATCAGGGCTTATATTGGTAAGTTATTGAACATAGCGAAATACATCTATATCACGCCTCATTTTAATCAATACCCCCCCCAAAAATTAAAAAATATTATTACGTGTGATTCTGAAAAATATTGTCAGACAGGTGAAATTAGAAAAGATGAGGCTTACTGACCGGTCAAAGGATTACATTATTTCCTAAGTTGTCTAGGCGGGGAGTGAAACGTCTTTGTTTTATTCCACATGGGGAACAAAATGCCTAACTTTAACCTCTAGTCACTTTGTACTCCACTATTAAGGTCATCTTTGAGTCAAACCCTAAGACCAGAAGGCTCAAGAGCCCTTGAGAGCTCCAGATAAGCTTGTATTGTTTAAGATACACCAACTTTATTTCCATAACCTGCTTGTGTACAAATACACATGAAGGAATTTGATAACCCATTAGCGTGATTAGGATAACAGCACTGCAAATTATCTAATGTAGCTTGCGCATAGGTATGTCTTGCGCACAGGTATGTCTTACGTACAGGTATGTCTTGCATACAGGTATGTCTAACGTACAGGTATGTCTTACGTATAGGTATATCTTGAGTACAGGTATATCTTGTGAACAGGTATGTGAATACTGCAGAGGTCATTGTGCAACCTCCCAGTTACTGCAACTTGTTAAAAGGTTCTACAACATGTGTCTCACTCGGGGCAGGGGCAGTGGTAGCCTTGTTTTAAGGTGTTCGCCTGTCACGCCCAAGATTGTAGGAATACTGGCAAAAGAGGCATGAAACCATGCTTGCTCACGCACGCACGCACGCACGCACGCACGCACGCACGCACGCACGCACGCACGCACGCACGCACGCACGCACGCACGCACGCACGCACGCACGCACGCACGCACGCACGCACGCACGCACGCACGCACGCACGCACGCACGCACGCACGCACGCACGCACGCACGCACGCACGCACGCACGCACGCACGCACGCACGCACGCACGCACGCACGCACGCACGCACGCACGCACGCACGCACGCACGCACGCACGCACGCACGCACGCACGCACGCACGCACGCACGCACGCACGCACGCACGCACGCACGCACGCACGCACGCACGCACGCACGCACGCACGCACGCACGCACGCACGCACGCACGCACGCACGCACGCACGCACGCACGCACGCACGCACGCACGCACGCACGCACGCACGCACGCACGCACGCACGCACGCACGCACGCACGCACGCACGCACGCACGCACGCACGCACCCACGCACCCACGCACCCACGCACACATGCCGCGCTGAGCCCAGCCCAGCCCAGCCACACACACGTGCATTCACATCGCAATATAAGTGCAATAATCTTGGACGTGACGTTACACCCCATGTGACCTCAACTCACAATCTTGATTGCATGTATGCTATGTCATTCAAGTAAAGCTCCTCTGTTTTGTTATGCAAAAGCCATGCTCAAGACAAGTGATGCCAGTTTCATAGTTTGGGCTGAAAGGCATATATTTGTAGCGCTTTAGTCTCGAAATATTAAAAAAAAGAGAAAATTGTGACTGGACTTTGTGTGTATGACGTGCAGATCTAACTAAGTTACTTCAGAGATGACATCATTGCATTTAACATGATGTTGAAAGAATTAAAAACATGGTCATTTTTAGAGTTTCCAGTACAGCAGGACTGGCAGTTTCAAAAGCCAGCGGGAACACTGTTTAATTTGATCATTATATTAATATATTGTAATACTTTTATCATGTTTATGTCAGTACATTAATGCTAAAATGTCCAGTCAATGACACCCCATCTTGGAGAGTCAGTGGTATTGTCCAGTGGTTTGTCATCCAGAATTCATTGTTGTCTGAAGGAGAAAAGCTCCAGGACAACACAATCTGTCAACCACCACATGTCATCAGCAATTATCAGTGTTCGAAATAGCTGCCTGCCCGCTAGCCAAATGCTGGTGACTTTTACATTGGGCTAGTAACATTTCCATAAGGCTGGCGCGACTGGCCAATTGAAAACTAGTCAAGACATTTTTATTTCGTCATTTAGGGTCGAAGTCTGGTATCATTTTGTTCCTTGGAACGTTGTATACTGGCCTTTGCTGCACACTGAGCATGAATGATGCATGTGAAAGTCTTAGGACCACCACAAACATCAAACAAACAGACCGCCTCCGTGGTCTTGTGGTAGAGCGTCCGCCCGGAGAGCGGAAGGTCCAGGGTTCGATCCAGGGCCGCGTCATACAAAAAGACGTTAAAAGATGGTACTTGTTGTTACCCTGTCTGGCGCTCGGCATTAAGGGGCTAAAACAAGGACTGGTCGGCTCGGAGTCAGTATACTGTGTCTGAGTGGGGTATTCATGTTAAACTGCGGCATGGTATCTCAGTGAGCTAGCACTATAAATCGGCATCAGTCCGGACTAGTACAAGCAGCCACACACACACATACACGTGCATGCACGTCGCTATATAAGTGCAATAATCTTGGACGCGACGTTAAACCCAATTTCACCTCACCTCACCTCAAACAAACATATAGTAGCAAGCAGCCAAGCACCTTCCTGTTTGTTAATGTAATGGTCTCAAAACCTACAAGATACATCGAAGTTAACACAGAATATGTAGGTTGTTGCCAGAAAGTAGGGTTAGTAAAAAATCACAAGGGCTTGCAGCAAGCAGGCGACTATGCTTGTCGTAAAAGGCAACTAACGGGATCGGGTGGTCAGGCTTGCTGACTTGGTTGATACATGTCATTGATCCCGATTGCGTGGATCAATGCTCATGCTGTCAATCACTGGATTGTTTGGTCCAGACTCGATTATTTACAGGCCGCCGTCATATAGCTGGAATATTGCTGAGCGCGGCGTTAAACAACAAACAAACAAACAAATGTTATTCCAAGCCCCTCTGGGCAGTGAACTTCGGAAAATATTTCTTACGCTTCATGACATGCCATTGTCCCATTCCTGCTTTAATTCTTGATAATTCTTTAACAATCCAGACCAATAGATTGTTTTGGTGTACAGAAGAGTTTGTCATGTTTATACCACATTTGGCAAGGGAATATTAAAAATAAATAAAAATTCCAGTGTTTTAAAATATTCTATTTTTAACATCTTCTTTGTTTTGTTAACTTTTGATGGATGTTTGTTTCAAGGTTAGTGGAGGGATTTAACCTGAGGTGTTTGTTACTTAATTTTTGCCTCTGACTCTTCGACACATTGACCTTAAAGATCTGTTAAACAAAGAATATGTTTGTCCTGGCCTATATGTGTATTTTCAATCTGGTTGAAATTGGGAATTGTTACCATCTGAAGGCAAGTTAAGTATGTTCCCACAAATTAGTCCCCAAAGTTGTTCATATGTAGGTCTATTCAGCCCTTGTGTAAGCCATATAGAAGAAATCCCAGTGAACTATGGCATTATAAAACAGTTAGCTTTTTTAGGCTTTATGTTTGTTTTTAGTTGTTTTAGAAGGCCGACTGAAAAAACAACAACCTGAAATTAGATAAAAAAAATAAGGACTTGACAAAAAAAACATTTCTCTGATTCTGTTTTACAATTTGGAGAATGAGAACATAAGATGTTTTCACAGCTGTTTGTAAGAAATGATAAATAATACATATAAAGATCTGTATTCTTGCAAAAAAAGCATTTATAATTCGGTATCTTGCCATTTTTATTCATTGGTAGTGGCACTAATCTCAAAGTTGAAATTTTAAAGAAATAATTTTACCACCTAAATTGATTTTTGGGCCAAAATGTTTTGCAAACCAACTTCTAAATACTAAAAGACTGCATTATTTGAAGCAAAGAGAACCTTCTTCCAACAGTTGTTCCTTGTAAACTGAAAGCTGGTCATGTTGTTCCTGACACAACCGTGATCCATACAAACACGTGGCGGACTGTCCATGCTAATTATCAGCCCTGAATGGGTTAAGACTATTGATTGGATGTCTGAATCCTACGCTGTGGCCAGAGGGAGACAGCAAGATGTGAACTTTAAAGTGTATCTCGCACATTGCAGTGGGGGCATGGTCCGAATCAATAACCTGTCAATCCGTACAAACATTTAAATCTACCACGCTAACTCCTGACTGACTTAATTTGGCCAATTTGAAATCATTATGACTCCACTCACAAGTGTTTTGTGCTGTGGATGCAGGGACTTGGAACAGATTGACGTCATTGATGAGTAATTAGCTTGACAACCATTCTGTTAGGATATGTCCAGTGCTGTTAGGATATTGTTGAGCTGTTGTGAGGAAGCGAGTTGGTTTTGACACTGCTTTAAGTTTGTTTGTTTGTTTGTTTGTTTGTTTGTTTGTTTAATGCCACACTCAGGTATATTCCAGCTGTATGGCGCCGGTCTGTAAATAATCAAGTCTTGACCAAAAAATCCAGTGATTGATATCATGAGCATCGATCTTCGCAATTGGGATATGATGACATGCATCAAACAAGTCAGATAGTCTGACCACCCGATCCCGTTAGTCGCCTCTTACCACCAGCATAGTTACCTTTTACGGCAAGCCTGGGTTGCTGAAGACCTATTCTACCCTGAATCTTCATTGGTTCCCCTCTCAGCAGTATTTTGTAAAGTAGTAGTCAATGTCATCAGCTTGATGTGGGGGAAAGCCGAAAGTGATGTGTTGTTGATGTTTACTACTTACTGTGGTGTGAAACAAGGTAGTAAGCTTATAAGGGTATAGAGTTGGTGAGTAACATAATCAGGACAAATCTGGGATTCAAACCCTGGCAAGTGGATCCTTGTGTGTCTAAGGGATGTAACTCTGCAGAATGCAAGGATCACCCATGTGTTCAGGACTGTTCACCAGACAATATGCTGATATCATTCAGCATTTGTTGCCGAAGTTGAGCCAGAAAGAATATGAAAACAGTTCCCCTCCTATTGTCTTACCTATCACCACACTGGAGTAAATCTGTCCCCATAACAATAGGTGCCTGACAAGTCGGAAAACCCTAAACAAACCACCAGGCAGACTGGGTGCCGTC